GGAACTTAAGGCCCTAATAGAATACCTCGAAGGCAGGACCGCCGAAGTCCCGAAGATATTCAAGCGCGCACTTGCGTCGTTCTTTCTACGAAACGGTCTTCTACAAAAGAAAAACTTTTCACCGCTTCGAGCTAAGTACCTTCTTGTGGTGCCTTCAGCTCTGCGACCAGAACTCTTGCAGGCCCTTCACGACGATCCGACGGCAGGGCACCTCGGTGTTTCTCGCACGCTCGCGAGGATACAAGAAAGGTACTACTGGCCACGTCTTACCACCGACGTCACTCGTTATGTGAGAACATGCCGGGACTGTCAGCGACGCAAGACACCGCCGACAAGGCCAGCGGGACTTCTGCAGCCAATTGATCCACCTTGCCGACCTTTCCAGCAGATTGGTATGGACCTACTGGGGCCGTTCCCGACGTCGGCTTTCGGAAACAAGTGGATCGTGGTAGCTACCGACTACCTCACCCGCTACGCCGAGACAAAAGCCCTGCCAAAAGGCAGTGCATCCGAAGTAGCTAAATTCTTCGTCGAAAATATCGTCCTACGTCACGGCGCCCCAGAGGTCCTTATCACCGACAGAGGAACGGCATTCACTGCCGACTTAACTCAAGCAATCTTGGCATACAGCCAAACAAACCACCGCCGGACGACAGCGTACCACCCACAGACCAACGGCCTCACCGAGCGGCTTAACAAGACGATCGCCGACATGCTGTCAATGTACGTCGATGTCGAACACAAGACGTGGGACGCCATTCTTCCGTATGTGACCTTCGCATACAACACGGCGGTGCAGGAGACGACGCAGATATCGCCATACAAATTGGTCTACGGAAGGAGCCCGGCAACGACGCTCGATGCCATGTTACCCAACGTCACCGACGAAGAAAACCTCGATGTGAGCGAGTACCTTCAACGCGCCGAAGAAGCCCGACAACTTGCGCGTCTCCGTATCAAGAATCAACAGACGACCGACAGCCACCGTTACAACCTTCGACGACGCTTCGTGGAATACCAGCCCGGTGAACGTGTTTGGGTGTGGACGCCGATACGCCGACGTGGACTAAGTGAAAAGCTTCTGCGACGGTACTTCGGACCGTACAGGGTGGTTCGACGGCTCGGCCCACTTGATTACGAGGTTGTCCCCGACGGCATCACGAACTCTCAACGACGCCGATCGCGACCTGAAGTCGTGCATGTCGCGCGCCTCAAGCCGTTTCATGCGCGTTAACAAACTGAACTAGTGTTTTTTTTTGTAATATTGTTGTATCGTAATTTATTCATTGTACTTTCTTGCATTATTATTGTACTTTCATCTTTAGTTAAAGCATCGGGACGATGCCTTTTTTCAGAGGGGGGCAATGCCACGTTCCATTTCCCAAGTTTTTGTTATCGTCCGAAAACACCGCACGATTCTCAGCGCAAACCGCGCCTGCAGTTTTCTAGAAGGTTCCGGACTGTAGTAGATCATTTCGATAAGATCACGCCCACTGTGCGAACGGTACAGATTGTTCTGGAAGCTACGCCACCACCAGCGATAACGCTAGAACGTTCGACGGCAAGAGTATAAATGCCGACGCGCTTCGCCGCTTGTCAGTTGTTGATCGAAGGCCGACGCTCCGTTTGCCGCTATCAGTCCGAGACTGCTATCTGTGCGAGACTGTTGCTGTAATTGGACTTTCAGTTTACCGGGCACAGGTTCGCCCAAATAAACAGTTAAATCCCAACACGAAGTCTCCTGTCTTCGGCCACGTCACGACCCCGTGACAATATGGTCGTTGTCGTAATGGCGCATAGGAGCCGGTATCGATGTAATGTAGAGCGGTAGAAGTGCGGCCAAGTGAAGGTTGAACAACATCGAAAGATTCGCGGTACTGGTACTGCAGTTGGAGGAGTTCAGATCGTTCAGATGGTGACAGTCCGCCTGCGATCACTGAATCGAATACTTTCGAAGCCTGTAGATCAGAGTGGTTAAGAGCACTGACGGCGGCGAGGTCACTTTGGGATGATTCTTGCGGCACGGTAAAAATTTGTCCGTTATCAATGGGCTGTACGCATCCAAGAGACTCGCATTTAAACAGTTTGATGGTATGCGGAAAGGGATTGGTAAGGCAGAGAGCACTGGCTCCATTAGAAATTGAGAGAGCTGAATAAGAAGCAGAAGTGGTTTCCGACTTAGAAAGAGGCTTGATGGCTCAAAAAATGCTACTTCATCACGCATGCCGTCGAAGACCACAGGGTGCAAAACAGCTGTTGTCGGTGGAATGTTGTCGGTGGAATGTTGTTGTCGGTGGAAGACGCAGCGAACCTTGTTTCAATTAAAAAAAAAAGTTTTGTGCAGGTTGGTTTGGTCATAAAAAATGCGCCCATTTTCTTTATAATATGTGATGTATACTATACTGATTAGATTCGAAATTATTCGACCAGAATTGCTATTCACTTCGAACCTAAAGATTACTATTCGCACAAGTCTAATTTTAATGTACTTCGACTTTAATTACGATCTTCAATTTTTTTTGCTGTAAAAGTAGAAAAATTTAACTTGTGAAAGCAAATAATAACAATAAATGTGTAATTTCGGAAAAAAAACTTGCATTTTCCGACTAGCGTCTCCCCTTAAAGTGTGTTTAAACAGTTACCTTGTAGCTTTGGAGCGACTGTCGACTTGAAGCTATTTCTTTCCTATTCAAAGTTGAAAACAGTGCTGACCCTTGACTGAGAAAAACACATCTTTTTGCAAACATCGCTTTGAGGCGTCAGTGGAACTTCTGTCGAGGGGTTTGCCTCTAACATTCAGTGTGAAAGACTAATCTGATTTTGACACAAGCAAGATCTGGCTGAGAGGGAATCATGTGATACACCTGTACTTGGCGTCGACTGAGCCACTACGACAGCAACCAAGTTCTACTAGCAGTCTCTTATGAGAGCGTTTTGTCAGCCATCCTTTTTTTCACGTTGCATAGGGAGCCATGATAAAATGTCCAGCAATTCAGGGGTCTGACCTGCTACAGCAGATCCGACTATTTACAAAAATTAAAATGCCTCTATTGCTGCTACACCCGAGAAGAAAAGGTTTGCAGGTCTGATCATGAGTGCTATGGTTACGCTACTGAATTTGTAAGAGGAAAGTGAAAAAGCTTTCGAATCTGCGAATACAGAATGCATGAACATGTACATACTTCAGCCCGTTTATAGTGAATGTTGAGGGTGGCAGTTACATACTGCCACAGACACACCTTGCTCCGGGATTGAGCGAACCGCTTGGTTTGGAAACGATATCACCTGACTATAGGACATACAGTCGACGTCCGATTTCCCAGACCCTCAAGGGACTGCGAAAACGTCCAGAAGATCGGGCAGTCCGGAAAAACGAATGCAAGTGAAAACAGAGCTTTTAATATGTATTTTTCGCTGACGTAGGGGGTCGTGGCAGGAGTACAGGGTTCTCATTGAAATTCAGCATGTGCATCATTCTGGTGGTTCAGAAAAGAGCGAAAAATAAATAAATAAAAAAAAAATAGATGTCGCCAGCGATACTACATACACTTAGGAAGAAAAAAAAAGAAAAGGCTTATATTTGTTTGCATGGAATTCCACTTGCCCGCGATGATGTCTGCTTCAATTTCAGTTAACGTCATGCGGTCATTGTACACCGATTATTGTGTCAGTACTCCTATAAGCTCCGAGCTGTTTGGTTGTGTAGGTGCTGCCTCTTCGATCTCGGTGTCATCGGAATCCTGCATAACTTGACGAATGATTTCGTCATCGGTCAATTTCACACACAGTCAAGGCCTTTGTCAGCGTTAGTGAAGCCCTCAAGGGTTCTCTCGACTGGAATCTACACACCGGCAACAAGCAGATCATCGAAGGCAACATCCGCAAATGGAAGGTCGTCGCACATGCTGTCTACTCCGGGCCATCTCGGTGTCTAGTATGAAGCTTGAGCAGCGAAAACAGTTCCTGAAGGTATGTTCCGCAACCGCCTTCTACGAGTCTGCAAGCATGCCGGTGCACAGGCTGCGCTGCACCACAACAGCAATCACAGCTCCATGCGGCCTAAGCTAAAGCTGGCAACGGACTGGCCTGCACTGGATTGTGTCATTTTCGGTTTCAAGGGTAGGGCTGCCACGGCGCAAAGAGTTCGAGGGTCCGTAAAACGAGCAAAATGGTGGCGTTGATAGTGACTTCGAGTCTACGGTTACCAGTAAAAAGTCTGGAAAATCGGATGGCAAAAGCTATAAACGTCTGGAATATTGACTCAATGAGGAACTTGACAATGCTACAGATGAGTCCCAAAAATCAGGCATACCCGAAATTTCGGGCGTCCGAGAAATCAGACGTCGACTGTAGCAGCATCATCACTAAGCAATAAACCTCGCGGTCCATTTTAAAGAGGCCCTGTAAAGCTTTTCAAGCAGCCATGGAAGGAATTCAGTAAAGAGGAGTATTGCCTCACAATTTGACCACCGCAGAATTTTTAGAATCTGCCTGGTACAAGCGGAGCTACAAAGATTTGTCGTATGCTGCATTCTCTCGTTCCGACAAAAGCGCTGGAAGCCAAGCGGCATGGCAGGGGGGGGAAATATGCTACATGGGCCTTTTTTTCTTGGGTGCACGCGCGGGCACTTCGAGGCCTCCTGCGACCCCAGTAACTGCGGCCCCATGCTCAAATGGGCCAATGGCATTACTTGGGCCTGAGCCGCAGCAATGTTTGAGTATGTAGCACCAATTTTGACAGAAAAAAAAAGCAATACTCAGCTAACTTTAAGAATTTATTGTAAATTCCAGGCCGCATGCTGCACCATAATATTTGGCTCGCGTGTTCTGTGGAGCCTCAACTGCACATCGGAAGAATTTCCTGAGTGTGCTCAAAAAGTTTTGAAGGATCCCTTCGGCAAGTCTAAAAATACTTCCCAGCCCAACTGTAGAGGTTCACACACTGACCAAATGAATAATACATGATAGGACGTTGGGCTCTAAATCCATGAGCAACCTACCTTGACCATGAAGATGAAGTCTGTCATCGCAGGAGAATAAACGGCTCCCCCAGCACAGGGCCCCATGATCACAGAAATCTGTGGTACCACACCAGAGGAGAGAACGTTGCGCTGGAAGATGTCCGCATAGCCAGCCAGGGATTCCACGCCCTCCTGGATTCTTGCACCCCCGGAGTCATTGAGCCCAATCACAGGGGCTCCCACAAGCATAGCTTGGTCCATAATCTAGTGAACAAAAGCCCAGAAGCATTGGCGTAATAGGTGCCACAAAGATTGAATATTGGAGGTGTGTGAATATGAATTTTGAATTTGAATTAAACAATACTCAATTGAATAATTCTATTACACTTTCAAATAGCCAGCATTCGATGTTTTGAATAATTAGACGAGATGAGTAGCTAAAACGTCACAAATGTGGAACTAGGTTATGGTGGGGTGGCTGAAACTATTGTATTGTCGCACTGTAGGCATTTCGTGGAAGCCTCGACCAATACTTAGCTTCAAAGTGGAAGCCTCGTGGAAGCCTCGACCAATACTTAGCCTAACGCACAGGCGTCTTCTTCATCTTCGCTAAGTGCCACGCTTGCTCCTGTCGATGATGCACCGTAACAATATGAATATATGACAACGCCAACAGCCACGTAAAAAAAAAAAATTCTGGATGGTCACAGAATGAAACTAGTCACGAAGAGTGTGTTGTTTATGCAGGCGTGTGTTATGAGTCGAAACGTGCTTCGCCTTATGAAATAGATGCTACGAAAGCGCCCTGAGCGAGCGCAGGTCTTCGGTTAAACAAACACACCTTCTAACGTTGTAACCCATGCAGAGCAGGCCTACATGTCATTAAGGCTGCGCCTGCTCCTGTGCACGCAACGTCACAATGTGCAACGGCTGCAAGGTGTCGCGCTCTAGAGCAAGGCCAGCTGTGCAGGCACTATACACAGACGTGGCTACGGCTGTACATGAGTATGAGTGAGTACATGGCCTACAAATATAGAGGTGAGTATCTTATTCTTTGACACTATTGTCAAGAGCAATTGACTAACCGCTGTACAGTATGTCGGTTACCTTTATTCGATTCTTTGCACAATTTAGTCTCACTATGATAGCATACCACTTTCCGAATAAAGAGCTTGAAGGTTGATAGGCAATAGATTAGCACTGGCAGTGTAGCAGCAGTCATTCTAAGCATCAACCTTAAGGCACAGAAACACTAATATCTATGTTGTATATAAATGGCATACTGAATTTAGAAGCTAGGTTCTTTTTTTCTTAGTTCCGATAGAAAGCTAGGCTACATTATTTACCGCCAAATTCTGTAAGGAAGATAAACTCCTGTTTCTTTTATGGGTGGCTTCAACCAGTTATGACAGGTGACAACAATGAAGCAATGCTAATGACATTAAATTAATTAAGCCGTAGCGCAGTAGCGTTTGTCCTGGCATTTGTTTCCTAAACGTTGCGTCTTTAACATAGGTTTGTAATGTGAATTAATCTAGCTGCTGAGAGGTGAGATAGTGAACAGCGGGTACATCACACGACACTTACCTTGCATATCTTCTTGGCGTGGACACTTGAAAGACTTCCACCGAAAACTGTGAAGTCCTGTTAAAAGAGAATGGGACCGAGAAACCACAGAAGTGAAATATTACGCTCCTGTGCCTTTGGGACGTGTTACTCAATACTCGCCTGGCTGAACAGAAACACTTGTCGGCCGTGTATTTCTCCGTGTCCGGTCACGACGCTGTCACCAGAAAACTGTAAAGTGGGCGAACATTCTAGCTTTCTTCTTCCGCTGCCACAATTAGGTAGCCAACTGCTGTGCGATTACCTTTTCTTTGTGCATACCGAAGTCGCTGCATGTGTGCTCCATGAACATGTCATACTCCACAAACGTTCCGGGATCGAGCAAGATTGATATGCGCTCCCTAGCAGACAGCTTTCCCTGTGGAATAACGACGAGTAGAAAGCATGCGGCTTTGTTACCTGCAGCTCATTCATCCGAAACACACCGGGCGAAGCATCATTATCCCACCTTTTCATGCTGTTTCGCTACGCGCTTCTCGCCTCCACCGAGCAGGGCCGCTTTGCGCTTTTCTTCTATTTCCTGCTTGACGCGGAGAGTATTGGCAACTGAACAGTGGCGCAGCGACAGCCCGGGCGCAGGCACACGACCCCGCGAAGCACTTCGGGAGAACACGACGGACTGTCGTGCAAGCTAAAGCGGTAGACATGATAACAGGGCCGCAGGTGATCACTTCAACGAGGTCCAAGCTCGCCTCTCCCAACAGGGAGTTAACGCCACGTGCGACACATTAATAACATAAAAGAGAAAAAAAGGGAGACAGCCGTGCTCACGTGGACTTCAAACAGCTGCCAGCGGACAGTGAACTAATGGCGAATTCCATTGGGAGAGCAGGTGCACTCAAAAGCACGCTCAAAGTGCTCTCTTCCGAGGCGGCGTGTTTCAGTGGTCGAACAGGAGTAGGAGCACTGTCATCCATTGGTAGAGCGAGAGCGCTTTTGCTGCGCCGAGAGCAGCCAGGAGCAGTTCTGTCTGCTCCCTCTTAAAAAAGCGGAGTGAGTGGAAAACGCAGGAAACCACGTGTTTGGAACGTCATGTCCGGACATACCCTCTCAGCAATCCTCCTCACTTGTTTACATTTTGCGGCGTCGTGTCAGGCGGTTATGGCGGCAGCGAAGCGTGCGTGGTGCTCGGGCTCGAACGATTTTAACGTCGTAGCGGCAGATTCTGGCAGTGAACGTCCACCTTGCCTGCCTTCAGATTCACGGATGGCGGAGGCAGCAAAACGTCGTCGTCTTGCCGAAGTATTTGACGAGCTAGACGATGTCAGCAGCGATAGCTGCTGGAGCTCTACGTCCGAGTCGAGTTCAAGCAGCAGCGACGATGACGACGAAGTGTATGCAGCAGCGTTTCAGCAGCTCTTTTCTCTGCCAGAGCGAAGGCCGAAAGTGGAAGCATATGTTACAAAGACGGTGGCTAGCTACTCCGACGAGGAGGTGAGTCATTCGGCTTCTGTTTTAATTAGGTTGCTTAAAGGCCTGTTTTCTTCCAGTTCAAAAGAAATTTCCGCGTCACGCGGCCGGTCGTGGACTTCTGGCAGCAGAATTCGCCAAGTCACCGCACTGCCCTCAGAACAGTGATCATGGTGGCCTGCCTGCCAAGTCGGCTGAAGAACACATTCTCTCCTTTCTTTGGTGAGTGTCCGTACGTTTAGGAATGCCGCTGTCATCAGGTCACTGCATAATCCGTTTTATAGTGGGTTAGAGGCATATGAAATATTGCAAATAAATGTACCTAATTCGCAGCATGTCATTGGACCACCTTGCTTTAAACTTGTTAAATGCTACTAGCGAGTGTCGAACGTAATAGAGTTATAGTATTTTGTGAAATGCTTTCGTAGTTTGTACACCTACACACTGAGCTTCACAAAATTCTCGTTACTAGAATCAGTGGCAAAGCATAATTCATGATGCATCATTACAACAACCATGAAAACTTTTGCTCACGAAGCATTTCAAATCGGCTGTGTCAGCAGGTTCACAGTGAGCTTCATCTCCACACTTATAAATGTAATGCGCGAATTAAAATTAGAATTTGTTATTTAGATAGTGCTTCTACTAATCAAATATTTTGAGTTTCTAAGGTGTCACCCAAAAAGGTGGAATCGTGTTTTCTGACTTCAGTTGTCTTGCTAATTTGCTTCATTGACAGCGACAGCATTGTTAACACCATATTCAGTCATTGACAGCAACAGCAAGCTTAATTCCATTATTTAATTAGAGTATCCTCTCCTTTTCAGGTATGCAGCCAACAAAGCATGCATTAGAGATGTCGCTGGCCGCTTTGAAGTCGCAGAAAGCACTCACCACAGAATGATGGGCCGAGTAACTGCATTCCTGCTCGACATAGCACCGAATGTAATCAAGTTCCCCAGTGACCTGCAGAAGCTTGCTGTGGATTTTGAGAAGGTAACTATGCTTTTGTAAACATGCTATTTAAGGTATAAACTACAGTTTTTTTCACACCAATGTCATACAGCTCTACACAACGCACAAGTATGAACGCAGGAACAAGAGCAATAACGTGGTCTTTCTAAACACACGTGGCCTATCAGACCTTTGAACTGTGCCTGGCTTGTGCCATTAAAACGAATATCTGTCTAGCGGGTAAACTTGTGGCCGCCGCTGCAGCATTAATCCGATCGCCGAGCGAACTTGCAATGCTCGCGGTTGAGATCCATGCACAAAATCTCACAGAGTGCGAAAGCTCTGACAAACACCGCAACAGGTTTTCCCGTGTGCGGACATTACTCACTGTATAAGGGCCCCGGAATCATGTTGCGATAGTAGCACCACTTAGTTTCTAAATTACGTGAGCACGAAACGTCAAAAAAAAAAAAAAAGAAAGGTGGGTAATTGGCGGGTGGGGGGGGGGGGTCGCGCTAAAAATTTCGGGGGTAAAGTTTGAACCAGCCCCCCCCGCCCCCCTCAGCCTTGGCTACGCCACTGGGAAACAATCTCGTCATTTAAAGCGTTTTCGAAGTGAATGGTAAATGTGTTGCTCGGTGCATCGGTTTCAGTTTCGCCTGCAAAAATAGCCAGATTTTATAGCCCCGCGGGGATTACCAGTGGCTGCCTTTCGAAATTTCGACGTCACGATAGGGAGCTTGCATGAACGGCGGCGACGCTATGGACTCTGGGTAGGCAGCCATTTTTTTGTCAGAGGCAGCTGGGGAGTACAGCAGCGGCGTCGTATTTGCGAGCGTTGGCGTATACCTTTCAGGCGTGATCGAGTGCGATCACGACGCAAATTTAACTCCAAGAAGTTTCGTGCACGATATCAGCCTCACCGCAAGACCACACCACAACGCTGTGCCAGAAAGACCTTTGCGGCACGAAGAAGAGACGAGAATTTGCTCCGAGTGATCCATTCCCGCTTCGTGTGCGCGACTGTGTAAGCGGCGTGTACTTGTGGCGGCGCGTCGACAGCTCCGATATTCATGAATTTTTCGTTCCGAGGACGAGTTTGAAAACCCGGGAGCAGATAAGGTCCAGAAAGTCCCTCGAGGGTCACAACATTGTGAAGAGTGGCCGAGTGCGGGAGCCGTAGGTGAAGAAAGTCGCCGCCGACTCCGTGGTCGTCGTCACTTAAGTAAGACGTGTTAAATTGAGGAGCGCTCTTCTCGTGCACGTGCGTCGTACTCCACGAAGAATAACAGCGCAGTGGGATGCGAGCAGGCTTCGCTGTTCCCGGCCATGCATGTGCAGTGCGTGGCAAGGACCTCGCCATCACTCTTGCCCATGAACAAGACGTCGACCGGGGCTTGTTAACACACTGGAAGTTTAACCTGAACAGAAACAAACATTCGCATCTACGGCGAAATCAAGTAATTTAACACCTCTTACATGAGTGACGATGATCACGGTATCGGCGGCGAATTTCTTCATTCACGACTCCCACAACCGTCACAATGTTGTGGCCATTGATTGCCTTTCCCAACTTCAACAGCTCTTTGGGTAATCAAACTCGTTCTCGGAACGGGAAATTCGTGAATATCGGAGCTGTCGACGCGTGGCCACAAGTGCACGTACGTGCTGACACAGTCGCCCACACGAAGCGTGAGTGGGTTACACTCGGAGCAAATTCTCGTCTCTTCTTCGTACCGCTCGATGTCTTCCTGGCACAGCGTTACGGTGTAGTCTTCCGGTTAGGCTGGCATCGAGCACCACTCTTTTTGGAGCTGAATTTACGTCGCGCTCGCACTAGATCACGCCTGCAAGCTACGCCAACGCTCGCAAACACGACTGCACTGCTTCACTTTCCGACCGCCTCTGACAAAAAAAAAAAAAAATGGCTGCCTACCCAGAGTGCATAGCGTCGCCGCCGTTTATGCAAGCTCCCTATTGGCGCTGAACCACGCTCTCAGTAGGGGCTGCAGAATTTGCGTCTTTTCCTTTTTCCTCAACTGCTCTGTCTCGAAGTCACTATGAACTATTCAAAGGAAAGGCTTGATTTCACCTATTTGACTCGACCGTTTATTTCCAGTTGTTAAAAAGTTAATTGCATTCATTTTTATAAAGCTGCCATAATTAGTGTTTGTAGGCATTTCAGGACGACCCACCATGGTATCATCATCATCAGCCTGACTACGTCCACTGCAAGACAAAGGCCTTTCCATGTTCGGCCAGTTAACCCGGTCCTGAGCTTGCTGCTGCCAATTTATACCCGCAAACTTCTTAATCTCATCTGCCCACCTAACCTTCTGTCTCCCCCTAACCCGCTTCCCTTCTCTGGGAATCCAGTTTGTTACCCTCAATGACCAGCGGTTATCTTATCTACGCGCTACATACCCGGCCCATGTCCATTTCTTCTTCTTTATTTCAACTATGATATCCTTAGCCCCCGTTTGTCCCCTAATCCACTCTGCTCTCTTCTTGTCTCTTAAGGTTCACTTTAAATTCACTTGTAAAATGCATTTTTGTAAGTTTTTCATGTTCTTAACCAAAGTTAAGCTCACGTCCACACTTTTTTACGACTCATCTGCCATACTTCTTTTTCTTTCCTTCTTTTTGTTTCTAGTTCTGAAGTGAGTTCGAGTGTATCGATTCTTCAACGCAGTTAATTTTGTGCACAAATTGTGCTAAATATTTTGTGGTATCACTATCTTCTGTATTGTTACAATGTATGCCTTTAGTTCTTTATCACTTGTGTACTAAAAGTATTTGCAGCAATTTAGCATTTATTGTCATGTGTATTTAATTCGATAAAATATACCTTAAAAGCTACCCTGTCATTGAATTTGTGTATAGATTCATAATCATATTAACTGCACCTCTGCTCCTGACATGTAATAAAATAATCATGTAATAGATTGGACCACTGACTAGCCACACAGGCTAATGGTCCAAATACTTTTGTAACCATGTTTTTGTATTACGTTGATTGAATAAACACTGATGATGATGATGATGAAGGTTGCACCTGCCATTTTTCTTTCCATTGCTCGCTGCGTCGTCCTCAATTTAAGCTGAATCCTCCTTGTATGTCTTCAGATTTCTGCTCCATAGCTAAGTGCCGGCAAGATACAGCTGTTATTTGCCTTCCTTCTGAGGGAAATAGTGGCAACCTACCTGTCATAATTTGAGAGTGCTGCGCATTGTACATTTTAATGTACCTGAAGTGCCTAATATATTTCTTTCCATTTTTTGGTTTTTCTTCTTCTCTCGCTTTGTTTTACTTTTTGTTTTGTTTTTGTCTTAGTTTTTCTTTTTGACTTTTTTTTTCTTTTTTCCTCGTTACTTATCTTTAGCAAGTGTATAATTAGGTACATTTGACATTGTAGTGCACCTGCGCCTGTAGTGAAT